TTTATTATTTTGTAAATCAATTTTTTCGCATAAAACTAGCAAATTTTTTTTGGTGGTCAGTTTATATTTATTCTCAAAATCGCATAAAAAAAATATTGAGATCCACTAAGACAATCTCAAGGATTTTTCAAAAAATAAAATAATTGTGTGCATAATTTATTTTCATAAGAAATATTTTCTTGATTAAAATTTTATTAAAATATTAATCTGAAGTTTTATACAATTTAATAAATGTAATAATGTATGAATGTAAAAAAATAAATAAATTTTAAAAAAAAATTTCTAAAGTTAGATTAAAACCGCCCGTTTTGATAAAAAATTGAAAAGCTATTTTCTAAACCAATGTTTCAGCGTAGATTAAAAAAAATTATTTGGGGTCACAGGAAATGACAGATATTTTCTTTCCCATTACTTTAAGTAGTGTTGTCAAACGGCTCGAATTTACTAATTTTAAATTAAGATTTTAGCCAAAATAAAATTACGTAACCTCGAGATTTCCCTAATTGATGTCCAAAGTTAATCGCTCGATTTGAGCCGACTTTTAAAAACGGCTATCTCAATATTTTATCCGGAAAAAGATTACGCAATTCTGGAGATTTTGCTCATAGATGGCAGAAGGGTTTGGACATGCAAAATTTTTGGGCTAATTTGAGTTATCGGTTTTTAAAAATCGGCTCAAATCGGCCGTTTAACAACATTAATCCAAACATATATTTTTTGGCTAAAATATTGTGTTAGCTTAAAATCAAGCCATTTAACAACACGTGAATGGTCTCGTGATTGAAGTTGCCCAAATTGAGTTAACAACCGGGAACTAAATGTATATTGTTTACTATGAATATTTGTTCCTCTTAGGAGAGGCAACTTCATTCATATTTCGCGAACATATCGATTCACTAGGTGGATTGTGGTCGTAATGGAATTATATATATATATATCAGAGACCTGTAGGCCCTGGTACGGGCTTATTTTAATTTTTTTTTAAATACCCGGCCCGGGGGGGGGGGCTTTATATTCAAAGCCGAATATTAAATCGTCATTATTAGTAAAAATTAAAAGCTATAAAAATTAAAATAAATGTGATATATTTTTGAGAAACCTAGACCTGGCCCAACCTGAAAATAAAAAATCCTGGTCGGGCCATGCAAATGGTATCTCTGCAGATCTCTGATAGAAATAAAGGATGTTACAGAGAATATGATGAATTATTACTTATTTTGACAGCGAGATAGAAAGAATTAATGCTAGAAGGAAGGAAGGAAGAAATAGAAAAGATTGAGTTATAAAGAATGGAAGAAATGTTTAGATTACAAATGGAGAAAATATAAATAAAGATAAAAGAGATGAAGGGGCAAATGAGAAATGTGAATAGAATCTAATTATGGAAATAATAAATAGAGAAATGTATATTGAAAAGAAAATAGAAGGAGTCAGCCGATTTGATGTAGAAAAAGGACCATGTTTTACCTGTGAAAAATATGGTCACATAAGTAAAGATTATGATGAGAGAATAATCCAGAGAGTGCTATTGAGTGTGGAAAAGATATGGTAATAAATACCATTAGTCATTATACTTCCTTATATTTGTGCAAAATCCTAGACTGGGAAAAACACTGGTCTAGAGGCTTTCGCACCTTAAATATTGGTTGTATGGCTGAAATCGTTCATAAATATCTTTTATATTAAATAATTATAATAATTTTTTCAAATTTTCAAAATAGAAAGAAAATTTAAAATTTAGACATATAAAAAAATAAACATTCATGATCTCTGGGTTAGGCCTAATATGTTTAAAAAATATTTGAACATGGACAGGCATAAAATAAATATAATTAAAAATTTTGCAAGAAACAAATAGCCAATATTTTTAATTTGTTTGTAGATTTAAAAACGGCTAACTCAATATTTTAGCCTAAAAATATTGTCTAAACCTCGAGATTTAGTTAATAAATGTTCAAACCTTTGTGTCACCTATGGGCAAAATCTTAAGGCTTTACATAATAATTTTCCTAATAAAATATTGAGTTAGCCGTTTTAAAAAATCTGCTAAAAATGAGCTAACAACACTAATCATAAGCTTGATTTTGTTGATATAAAACTATATTGAAAAAAAATAATAATTTCTTTATAATATATTCGGGCCGGGGACAATTAATTTTTTTTCGGATTTTAGAGATAAATAAAAAAAATATTCGTTTCGGATTGGGCTGTACATAGTTTTTTATAAAACATTCAGACCGGGTTGGAAAAGACATTGTATTATTTAACACATAAGTTTAGCTATTTTTTTTAATTAAATAATTGTAAAAATAGCTAATTATTCCTATTATATGAATATCAATGGGAAATTCATATTATAACTTGTTAATTAAATAATATCATATATTAAATAATCGAATGGAATAAAATTTGATTTTCATTTTTCCTTCCATTGAAATAAATACATGATATTTTTGTTTGAGAATCTAGCTTTTTGGTTGATTTTATATTTAATACAACATAAATGTGGTCAATGTGAAGGAAATGTGAGAATGCAAATCGCCCGTCTATTCAAAGGGTAGGCACGGCCTTAACTGTATATTTAATCAAGGGCGATACCAACGCTACACAGCAATAAACTATGTAATAAATCTAGGTTTAACAGCCGCCCACATTCTGAACCATCTTGAACCCACAATCTCAAGTAGATGGCTTAAGATTTGATGATATGACAACCATACCTTGAGCCCTGGGAAAATCACTAATATGGGACTACCCATGGTTTAAATCTTTTAAAAAAATTATGTTAATAATTATAATTTAAAATGTAATTCTATAATATTCAATCCGCAAGTTAGCGTTGTATTATTAAAAAAAATTATTTTTAGATTTCTTAAAATTATAATAAAATTAAACATAAAAATAAACTTTAGTCCATTTATTATCTATAAAATAATTTGTTGCTAAATTTTGAATGAAAAAGTATTTTAAAAATATTATTATTAATTTAAATTTACTCTTATAAAATATAATTGCAAAAAAAAATTACAAAAATGGTAGAGATTTTAGCAATTAAAATTTCATAGTGGTTTCGATTAAAAATACTGTACTGGAAGAGATCGTTTCTAAATTACCCCGGGCATCGATCTTTTTGGACAGCACCTTTACCTTTATCAACTTAATTTTTTTTTATATTTTAAGACTACCTGGTTGACATGAAATCACAACCAGATGGTGATCATAAATATATATGTATATCAATAATCATATTTTAATACTTATATATATTTAAATACAAAATCCCAATTAGCCTACTTTGCTCTTGATATTCTTTCAAATCAAATTTAACGGCATTGTGGAAATAAATGATTTGATAAATATCATTTTCAAAAAAATAACAATCTTGATATCAATTTATTTATTTGGGAGGGGGGGCTGGGAACAGTTTTGCAATACCTGTATGATCCTTATATGATTCATTAAATTGCATATTACAAATTGGTTTGACTGATCTTTTCCTTAATTTGTCTCATTATTCATATTATAATCTAAGATTTTATAATAACGTTCAACGTTATATATCATTACCAGTAAATAATGGTAAAATGAATGAATGTTTCTTATTGTTTCAGAGATATTTATATTTATATGAATATGTTTCTGACGAATGACATATTGTATAAATTTGTATTAAGAATTAATTATAATATATATATCAGGATCAAAAAAAAAATCTCAATTAAATATTCACTTGGTAATATCACGACATTACAAAATAATATAGCATTTTGTGGGTGGGTGAATGACAAGTGGGAAGCTATGAAGAAACCCTGGGTGATGACAACTGAGGAGGTATGTGGATAGACAAAAGACCCCCCTAGACATAAGGAAACTTGGTGGTGGAACCAGGAGGTAGCGAAGGTTGTGGATGAGAAACGGAGGTGCTTCAAAGAATGGTACAATAGTAAAGAAAATAGTGATAAAGATATTTACAACATGGTGAAAAGAAATGATTAGAAATTGATAGCCAAGGCGCAAGAAGAAAAAAGGCAGGAGTTTGTTAAAGAAATGGAATGCCCTGAAGCAATGGGAAATGTGGTTCGAATGGCAAAGCAGATAACAAAAAGGAGGCAGGATGTTAAATATTAGAAAACTATGGATAGAAAAATGGTGATTGAAAGTAGTGGTATTACCTGGAAGATCTATATGAAAGGACTTTAGAACGAAGAAAATGAATGGGATAATGTTGTTAGTTGTGAGATAGAAGGTCCAGGGTGTAAATTTGGCAAGGACGAATAAAGAGAACAGTGAAAAAGATGGAAAAAAGGAAAGGCATCGGGTTTAACGAGGGATCAGAGATGTTTAAAGGTTCTGATGACTTAGGGATTGAATGCTTAATGAATTTAGCAATCATTGTCACAGAAGGAACAAACCCCGAGGACTTGCAAATAAGTATAATTATCCCAGTATACAAGGGGAAAGATGATTCTTTAGATTGCCGGACTTACAAAGCTATTAAACTCTTGGAACATGCAATGAAGGTAGAAGATGTTAGAGAAGCGGATAAGGAAATAAACAAAAATTGATGAAATGCAGTTTGGTTTTACATAGGGAAAGGCACGACAGAAGCAATTTTTGTGGTGAAAAAAGTACAGGAGAAGTATCTTGCGAAGGAAAAGAAACTATATTATGCGTTTATTGATTTAGAGAAGGCATTTGACAGGGTGCCGCGTGAGTTTATTAGATGGACCTTGAGAAAATCAGGTGCGGAAGAATGATTAGTTATGGATGGCAATGTATGTGGAAGCACTAACTGCAGTACGGACGGATGGGGATAGTGAAAGCTTTGAAGTGAAGGTAGGACTTTTTCAAGAATCCCTGCTGAGTCCATTATTATTTATCTTAGTAATGGATGTGATAGCTGGAGAAATGCGTGGAGGACTTCCCTGGGAGCTATTATGAACAGATGACCTTGTATTAATGGCAAACAGTGAGGAAGGATAGCGGGATAAAATTAGTAAATGGAAGATGGCTATGGAAACAAAGGGCCTGAAAATGAATGCAACAAAGACAAAGGTGATGATTGGTGGAGAAAATCTAAAGATGGAGGAATTCGGTAAGTGGCCTTGTGGTGTATGTGGGAAAGAAGTTTCTAGAAATGCAATCCAATGCACCAGATGCCAGAAATAAGGTACATAATAGATGTAGCGGGGAAAGGGGAAGTTTGATGTTTGCATGAATGACCTTTATTTGTAGAACGTGCATAAAAAGGGTACATAATAATAATAACGGAGAAATTGGTGGTCGGGATATTGGCAATGGGTTAAGAGTGGATAAGTTTTGTTATTTAGGTGATATGCTAAACACAGATGGTGGTGTAGATTCTGCTGTTGTTGCAAGGATCAGACAAGCTTGGAAGAAGATGTCGTCTATTCTTATAAATAAAAAAGTCTCTCTGAAGTTAAAGGGGAAAGTTTACGTGAGCTGTGTGAGGAGTTGTTTAGTTTATAGCGGCGAAACATGGGCAATGAAAGCGACTCACGAAGCCAAATTAGAAAGAACAGAGATGAGGATGATTAGATGGAAATGTGGGGTATATCTGAGAGAGAGAAAAACTAACAAGGAATTGCGAGCACGATTGTGTATAGAAATAATTGAAGTGGTATTACGACGAAATAGACTAAGATAGTTTAGTCATGTGGAACGTATGACAAAGGATGACTAGGTAACGAGATGCAACTTGATGGAAATAGGAGGATCAAAACCTAGAGTAAGACCCAAGATGACGCGGACAAATGTGATAGCGGCGGATATGAGAAGCATGAATTTTACAAATATTGATGCTCAGAACCGTCAAAATGAAAGAAAAATCAGAGGGAAAACTGGCTTACCTGAGTAAACCTGGAAATGGTCATAAAACGGAGAAGAAGGGCAATGATATATGACTTTAAACGACTTGCTAAACAACTACCATAATTTACTAAAATGCAATAAAACAGATTTTTTAATATATATTAACGGAATCACGTGGTCAAGTCCGATCTACTATATCATCCTGCCAATGGTGGAATCACCAAATTAAGCAAATAAAACTCTTACTTTTTCATAATTTTTGAACAAAAATGGCTAAATGAGGACATTATATAGGTAGAAACTACATAAATAAACAGTTTATTTATTATCATTCTACAAAATTAATAATAAAAAAATATTTAAAAAATATATCTTGTGAGGGATAAGACTTGATATATTACCATTTGATTATTGAGATCAAAAATGGATTTAAAAATTTTTTAAGATTGTGCTAATCATTTAAAATATAATTACAAAAACCAAGGGTTCGATTCTCTCCTTTTAAAATATTCTTATAACCGTTCGGTTACGGTTTGTAAATTTATAACGGTTCATTTGTTTCTCAGCTCGGTTCTGTTTGATATACCGCCTTATACACAAGAATTGTAATATTAAATGATTTCTGCTTTATAAATGTTAGCTTTATTATTTAAAATGTTACTTCCATAATATAAATACATTGAAATCTTTCATAACGTTAAAAATAATTTATAAAATACATCATTATTAAAAATCGGTAAAAAATGATTAAAATAACAAAAAACACTTACATGATTCAACTTTTATCAAATTTACATTTTGATATTACAAAAAAAGTTTATAGTATATAAATCCTAGGAATAGTACTATGGAAGAATTGATAATACACCTCCAGATCCAAAAAGAATCGCAATTGGTATTTGAAAAGCTGGAATTAGGTGTTCTGTCGTTAGCCAAGCAAAGAGTTCGCATCCATTGATATGTGAAAAAGTGTCTCACATTAAATAATGAACTAGCTCCGTTTGGGATGGAAATTGATCTGGCTTTTGGTAGAAAAGTTATACGAGGGGGAATATTTAAAATTATATATAAGTATCAAAGTAATAGTAACCCACCAATATATTTGATAACTAATAATAAAAAATTATTGAAGAATGCCAAAACTCTTTTATATGGCTTCTTATAACTAAACTAGTGAGTGGGAATGTTTATGAGGAATTACGTTATTTAATTCCAATTTTCTCACGATTAAAGTATTAGTTAAAGTGATTCCATCTAAAAAAGGAAACTTTAGCATCTCTTACTTAATTTCTTTATATAATATATATTTTAAGAAATACCATTTAATTATTCAATTAATTTATTATGATTGAGAAATTTTGAGAAAGTTATCCATATGATGCAGATTTTTATCAGAAATTATAATTCATTAAATCTTATTAGTAAAAATGAAATATACTTCTTTGAATTCAAAAATAAACTTTGGAAAAACTATTTCAACTTAAAAAAAAATTTTTGTAATAGCGCTAGTCATAATGCTGGAATTAATTAAGACGAGTATTTTGTAAAGTTTTAATACCAAAATTGCAAATGAGATGGAACAATAATTCATTTAGATGAGTATTATTATAAAAAAAATTAAGAAATTTAGATTCAACTCAAGGAATTTTCCGTTACCTCATTGAAATTTATATTAATCTCTCTATAAACCAGGGGCTGACTGGGAGAGAAAAAGTCCTGTGGGAATGAAAATTCGGAAGGCCCAAATTTTTTTTGATTTTATTACTTTATTTTTACTTACACGTTTTAATATTGTTTTTGAGTTTTACTTGTACAAATTCCCTTTATTTTAATTTATGCATTTTATACATAATAAGGCTGTGCAGATCAAATACGGTCAAATACTCTAAAATATTATTCGTGAATAAATATATTGATTTAATTAACTATATGTATTTAAAGCATTTTTATCCATCTAATTAGGTTATAACTCTCAATGACCGTAACCCCCTAATTGAACATCCTCTGCATAAGATAGACTTCTGCTATTTTGCTCGGGAACTTGGATCTTAATCAATAAAATACAGCAAAAATTAATGACTTTATATAATTGTGACTTACTAATATTATTTTTTTTTTCCAATAATATTAGAATTTATTAAAAATTTATTTGTATCATCAAGGCATCTATATAATTATAATTTCATATTAAAATATAAGATTTTCATATTAAAATATAAGATTTTATTTTCATATTAAAATATTAGAATTTCATTTTAAAATATAAAAATAAAAGAATTTTTTCATTAATAATTGATTGGATCTCAATATATAAATTAATATAATAATTTTGATAAAACATGGTTTGAGAAAATTACTATGCTAATTTATATTACATTATGTAAAATTATCCAAAGATGGGCATCGTCACTGTAAGAGCAAATATAAATAAGCAAGAAAGTTATGAAAGCAGCTGTTGAATAAGTTGGATATTTGTCCGAAAGGAATTACCAATAATATATTAAATGAAGAAATATTTTGGACGAAAAATATAAAATTTTAAATTATTCTTTAACATTTAGCTATCTTTTAAGTGGAAAGGGATAAATGTATTTTATCCCTCATAAAAACCGAGATGCTTAATTTGATCATAAATTTCAGAAGTAAAAGCAGCTGTATATTTTAATAGCCAAAATATGTGAAAAGCCATAACTTCATAAAAAAAATTCAAATTTCGGCCTCAATGTTGGGATGGGATTTTCCCACCTTGAACATCTGTCTAATATCTTACTAACAATTTCTAGTTAAACTTCTTTTTCAGGAAAAAATTGGTATGCTTGGTGTAATATTCATAAGAAGAAAAGAAATCGATTGTAGATCTCGACAATCAGAAAATTGGTATAATCGTAACCTAAGATTTATTAAAAATATTAAAGATAACGATAACATTGAACATAAATCAGTATAAGACTGGGCCATAGAAAGCGAAACATTAATTATGGAATTTAAAAAATATAATTTAATTTTACATAGATTCATTTTTTACTATTATAAATAAAATAAAAAATTTAATTTAAACTTGACCGTATTCGACCATATTTAACCCGGTCAAATATCGGTCAATTGACCGAATCATATTTGACTGGTTAAACGCACAATCCTGAGGCTGTGTCCTAAATGTTTTGAAATAAAACCTCAAAATTTATAAATTTTCGCAAATTAATAAAGTTATGAAACATGGCCAAAATCTTTCATTACTTTTTCTACAAAAATAAACAAAAAAATAAAATAAAACTAAAATACAATACAATAACCAAAAAACCAATAAAAAAACAAAAAACAATAAAATATGAAAAATAATATACTTTATATTACTTACTGGTTTTTTCATAAAAATTACCAGAGTTGTTAAAGTATTTAGATATAAAAATGTGGTATCTGTATCTAGATAGATTTTTTTGTTAAAATATCTGTATCTAGATAGATTTTTTTGTTAAAATATCTGTATCTAGATAGATTTTTTTGTTAAAATATCTGTATCTAGATATTATTTTAGAGGTATCTGTATCTGTTAGATACTTAGATACATTTTGATATACTTTTATTTAACGCTTTTATATTATAAATAAAAATAATTGAATGCAAAATTTATTTTTTTTATTTGAGCATATAATTTATATATATATTAAAAAATATTAAGACTACTATAATAAACATTATATATTCATTAAATATTATGTCCGAGTTAATTAATACACCAGACAAATTTTGATATTACAATCCAATTCAAGGAATCTCCATTTTTGCTTTCAATGGAATGGTTAATTTTATTTTATTATACTAATTTTAAAAATTAATTTTAGATTAATATTAATAGTGATGAAGAGGAAGAAGTAATAATCAATGAAGCATTAATAAGTTCGGACATTGTTTTTTCATGGCCAATTTATAGAGCATATTTTAAAATAATATCTCAAAATAAAGAGAACAAACAGTTAGAATTACCTCAACTTGCAACATTGTATAACATTTAAGGGTATAGATACTAAATAAATGTTTACAATTGTAATTTTAAATTTTAAGAGAAAACATCAAACACTGTTAATGAAAATAAAAAAGGGGAAGGTGAATAAATCTATTAAAGAAAATATTGGACTAGGCTCTTCGTCTACTGATATTTTTGCCAAGAGACCTCAGACTTGAACCCCAACCACTTTAGATGATTTAATAACTGCTTTTATTATAGCTAGCATTCAGCCATTTTCAATTGTTGAAAATCCTCCATTTATAAAAATGATCAAAACATTAGCTCCACAAAAAAATATAATTTGCCGACAGATAGTGGTTGGTAGAATTTCCCAAAGATGTGAAAATGAAAAGAAGAAATCATAAAAAGTCTAATATAACTATCGCTAATATGTACAACAGCAGATTGTTGGAGTGTCTATAGCCGGTATAACATTTAAATTTGTATAATAATTAATTAAGAACAAATTATTTGAGCATTTTTAAGAAATGTTAATTTTATTCATACATAGAAGTCACTGCACGATATATAGATCCAACAAGTTTGGAAAGAAAAAATGTAGCGTTAGCTTGTAAAATAATGACTCGTAGTCATATATATGATAAAATAGCAAAGAATTTACAAGATATAGCAAAAGATTATTGCATTCAAAATAAAATCTCAAAGACTATTACTGACAATGCCAAAAATTTTCTCAAGGTTTTTAGGTTTATTTTATTATAAATATAAACATAATATATGATTAGGATTACTTATTTATTATAGTTTTCAAGCCAATTGAAAATACTAGTGAATCCATGGATGATCTGGAAGATGAAGAAGCAGATGCACCAATATCAATATCAAGTCTTTATACTATTGCTCAGGATTTTGAAATATCAGAATCATAGTTTGCCTAATCATCAATGAAATATCATAATCATAGTTTGCCTAATCATCAATGTTGTGCCAGTCACACATTGAATCTTGTTACCACTGTGGATGCCAATAGTATGATTGTTAATAATGATTTAAATTTTGATACTCAACAAATTTTAATTAATTTTTTTAAAAATGAATGTCGAGATTTAAGTATTTTTAAAGAATATCCTGATATAAAATTGTTGTTCATAAAATATACCACCACAATACCTTCAAGCGCCCTGGTAGAAAGGCTTTTTAGTGTAGCCAAAAATGTCTTTACAGATAAACGAGGATGTTTTAATGACCAAAATTTTGAAAATATTTTATTACTGAAATCTAATGATTATTTATAAAAATTTAATCGTATTATTGTATTAATATCTAAAAATCATTATTTTAGTTATATTTTGATAAATGTGATATCGAGTCATTAAATATTTTAGCTCATTTCATAAATTTTCACAATAGATCCTAATTTAGGTTATGCAAACCTTATATAAGAGTAAAATAAAAATTGTATCTGTATCTAGATACATTTTTAAAATCGTATCTATATCTAGATAACTTTTTATACGATGTATCTGTATTTAGATAACTTTTCAGACGATGTATCTGTATCTAGATCCATTTTAAAGTATCTTTTAACAACTCTGAAAATTACCCACATAAATTAATTAGAAAAATTTTTATTAAAATTTATTAATTTCAATTATTTTTTTATATATGACTAAAAATGATTTATAACACTATTTAATTTTTACATTAAAAATAGCTATAAATTTATTTATTTATATTTTTTAAATTTAGGACACACCCATAAATCAAACTTAAAAAACTATATTTAATATTGATTAATAATATTACTGATACCTCAATTCGGTATAATTGAAGAGCATCATTTGGGCGTTCATCTGAAAATTCCTCAAGACTTTTTTTACGACTAACTCTACAAAAGGGTGTTAACACTACCATAGAAATATTTTTTGTAGCCATGTTTTTAGTGATAATAAGGAAGTCTCACAGAAGATTTACATTCAACCATTTTCCACGCTGTTATGGTTGTTTAACTTCTGCTTGTAAATATTTTAATAGGGCTCAATTATTTCGAAAATATTTGAGCCCTTAATAATGCTTAAAATTGACATATTGTATTTAATAAAGCTCCAGTATCAAAAGTCATTTCGGATTCAAAAGAATTGTTGCTATATATGCAATGTAAGACACCTATAGTAGTTATTATTTATGCAGTGCACCCTTGTTATTTAACCTATAAAACTACCTTCTCACATGCTCACCATCTTGTTTTACGTATTTCGAAGCTTTTAATTTTTTTAAACCTATTACATTTTTTCATATTTTTCGCTCTCATCTCTACCATCCTTTTGTATAATTTTTTTTTATAACGGTGAAACTGTTAAGTAGCCCACAAAAAGATTCATATTACATGTATCACAAACGCATAAATTGAGAATATAACACCAACTATAAGTACTATCTGATAAAACATACTTAATTTGAACTTGCAAACCGATAAATTCACTTCGTATATTTGCTGCTCTGTCAAACGATTCTCCAATTATATTCTTTATTTGCACTCATTTTTATCAATCAAAAAATTTATTTTAAAATCTCTAAAAGCTCCAGCTTTTATATAATCTCGAGGCCCCATGAAACTTTTTCCCAATATGCTTACTGGCCAGTCCGCCCCTGCTATATTCACATGACAGTCAAATTTGTTATTAAAAAAATGAACCACCTTTATCTAATCAATATCTCTCAAGCCTTTAATGAACCCTTCACCTCCATATCTCTCTAACTTATAAAGTATAATCACTCCTCCTTATCTTTACGTAGAGTTCTGCACGGGTTATCTGAAGCACGACCCGAGCCTCGGTCTGGGGTCGGGCTTGAACATGTAAAACTTTCTCTCGGGATCGGGTCAGGATGTAAAATGCAGAAAGACCCGAAACCCAACCCAAAGCCCGACCCAAAATTGAATATTAGAAATATTCTCAAATTATTTTGTTTCATCGAAATTTCAATAAAAATCACATGACATTATTCATCTAAAAATTTTACATATTCATTTACGTAATTTCCGTTCCCAAATTAGCAATATGTGATTTGTATGGTTACTAGTTAAACTCTATTACTTACATACTTCATATTCTATCAGGTTAAATATAATATATATATTATATACTACATTTAGCCAACATAAAATCTATGTTATAACAGTTAAGAAACATTTTCATTTGATAATTTTTGTTTTATCTAAGATCTTTACAATTAAATAATCCAAATTTAAAAATCATTTCTGAAGAGATTAGAATTCGAGAATTTGAGACCAGAGTAAATACAAATAAAAGATCTGAAGTATGGATGAAATTCCTACTTATATTTATCAAACATGATAAATTCCAAAATTTTTTAGTCAAACTCAGGTCTGGCTTGAACAAAAAATTTGTGCTTGGGTCATAAAATTCGAGTTATTATCGGGGTCGAGCCGCGAAAAAATTACATTGCTTGCCTCAGTTATTACATGTTCTAACTTTATTTCTGTTAATTAAAATTTCCTTTAGGTGAATATTACTTTATTATATTATCTAGAATGAACGTATATATATATACAAAAACAAAACGCCGTTATGATTTATCAACAGCGAGGAAAAAATATTTTAGTAAAATATGTAAAAAATGGTGATTATTTAATCTGAAACACATTAAAAAATTGGAAAAACTATAGGGGAGATTTCCCTGAAAATTTTCCTTGTGTTACTTACATAATCAAGAATAGGAAGAGAAATAAGAGGTTTTAAATCGCATTTTTAAGAACATGATTTTTATAATGTAAGGGTTCGATATAGCTTTCATGATCTACATTGACCATTTTAGCTGAACTGAGTCAGAGCTCTTCTAGGTTATGTATCAACTATTTGTGATATGTCATTACTGGGATTATGTAAATTCCTTCTAGAAAAATGTTAGTTATACTATTTTGCAATTAAATTTAACCATTTTTATTTGCTATTTTATTTGTGCGGTATAATCTCGAGGGCAGTGGGTAAACTTAAATAGCGCCAGTAATTCTGCAACAATACTTTAGACAGAAGAATTTTATAAAATTAGAATGTGTATGGCTCAAAGCAAAAATATATATCAAATAAAAAACATGAAAAAATTGTTTATTATATTTTGAAGGCGGGGTTTCCTACTTTTAAATAAATATGTCATGGAGGTATATAAAAGTATGCATTTTTCTTGACCAAATTTTAGACATTTAGATTTATAGGATAAAATATTATTGGTGCTTCCCTTTTTGCCTCATTTAACATTAGCTAGTGTTATTAAAAAGTACGATTTAGGTCGATTCATAAAAACTGCCCGACCCTTTTTTCCAAGCAATAGCAAAAGACCCGATTGCATTAAACTAGCTCAGAAGATCTTCTGGTCTCCTATTGCTTGGGATTACATGTGTAGATTTCAGCACAATCTAATAGAAATGTACACACTATTTTTACCGAACTTTAAAAAATAGTTATTTGTCCCATTATTCCTCAATACTTATGGAGTTTAGATAGATAAATTTATAAAATATTTTATATTACATTTTGGAATATAGAGATCATATAATATATAATATTTATTTAATTAGTATTCTATTAAATACCTAGCTTTAATTGCGTGATATCGTAACTGTAAGAAAAAATCCCAAGAAGGTAAAGACTAAAAAGGCCCAATAAAGTTGGATAAAACATTATAAATTGGAAAAAAAAACTATGCAAATTCAGTTTTAATCACCATCGCAAAGAGAATTTTTGGTTGAAGGAGAAAAATGCACTGTAAGTTCTTCGCTGGTTTCCATTGAGGGATTGAAGTCGGTGGCAATAGTCGAATCTGATAATTCCTGAAGAGCCAAGGGTACCTCTGGTAATAAGTTTTCGGATTTTGATGTGTCTTTCTCTTATTTTTTGTTTGAAGTATAATATAAAAAAATATAAATATATACATAAGTTAGTTTTATAACTACTAGTAACTTTTTGCTTTTCTCTAAAAAAAAAATTATTTGAAAATTTTAAACTTTTATAAAAAAAACTATTATTTGTTTACATCACGCTTTTTCTATTTAATGTGGTGTCAATCAAGTTCAAGGGTATATATTTCATTCCAAGTATATGCAGTGCTCCTTATCACGGGGAAAGGAGTGGGGGGTATAGAGGTACGATGCAATAGCTCCATTAAAAGCATGGGAGTCGGATCTTATGATTCTAACACCATGAATATTTTTGAGTATTCCCCTGGATATTCCTCTCTAGGGTACTCTCCCCCCCCCCCAAGACCATAATTTATTTTTAATATTTGTATTTTTTATACAATAACAGTTTACTTTTCTTTTTAATTAATGCAATAATAAAATTTAATGAAATTACAAAGTTATTATATCTCTTCTTTATTAAATGGAGTAATCATAATGCAATCTTTAATAGCACGTTGGTCAACCTGCCCAAATGTGAGCGTACATGCGAAGAATATTCAAAAAAAGTATTAATGTCAGTGACAGACAAGCTGATACTTGAGTAAAAATATAAAATCCGTGAAATAGATTAAACATCGACAAAAACCTCAAGCCTAATATTTGAAGATATTAAATAAAGTATGATGTATGACTGTAAAAAAAAATAGAGCCATGGGTTATGGTTAAACCAATCTTACATTCCGTTTTAGGTTGCACTATCTCACTAAGAAAAATTATCCCGCGGAAAAAAGCAGTGTCAAATAATCAAAATCCTAAAATCCGGCAAAATTGTGCATAATCATGAAATTTAAAATGTTTCCATTTTATTTTTATACGTTATAAAATAATTAGCTTTAAATATCAATATTTTTATATATTTCTGTTATTTCGTCTTGCTCTTGCGCTATTTTATCAAAGAAAAAAAAACAACTCTGATTGTAAAACTTTAAAACTCCTTGAAAAAAAATAATGTTGAAACGTTGGAAAATAACAAAAAAAATTCTTCACGTGCTTATTGCCATATAATAAATATATTTTTTTAACATATTAAAAATATTGTAATAAAAAATATTACCAATGTTGATCAATGTTAAACTCATCCTAATTAACATTATTGCCTATAATATAATAAGCATAGTGCCAGAATTTTTCTAATCATTTGATTAATTTTCTCAATAGGCTATATTTGTCACATGTTGCTTAATCCAGTTAAAAATATTAAATTCTTTTACTTTTTGATATAAAATCCCTAACTACGCTTTACTACAAATATTTCAACAGATTAACAAATAAGGTAAAGAAGGAGCTTAAATAATTCGAAGGATAATTGAATGGAAAATTTTGCAATGAGTTTTCTTACCATCTGGTTATCATTAATTTTTGCATTAAAAAAAATAATTAAATTTGGAGCCCCAGGAAAAACACGCACCAATATTTTTAAAGATGAATCAGTAGAAGTATATATTTACTAGATCTTAATGGAAGATATCATAAACATTATAAGGGTTGAATATAAATATTATAGATTTTATGATGACATAGTAAAATCTTCGTTAAGTATCGACAATGACATGTGTAGTCCCATTTATAATTTTTAGTGCAAACTGACTTATAGAATATGGTAGGTCTCTAGCTAATGTATAGTTTTTGTATATAATTTATACATAATATTAGTAAATATGTTTTAAAGAGACATGACACAGTTTATAGACAAAGTAGCAATTAACTTTAATCTTAATTTTAAATCACGACATATGAGTCTATTAATAAATCATTGTACAATTCAATACAGTTATTATATTTAGTCAATTATTTTATATTTTAGTTATATTTTATTATTTAGAAAAAAGATACAATTTGAAATAATAATAAAATATATTTATTTTTTATTCGAATCTATTCTAATATTATTTCATAGTTATATCATTTTCTCAATTATCTTAATTAAAATGGAATAAATAAATATATTATCAATGATGGTGCTATATTGTATGATATTATTAATTTTTTCTAAAATATTTTTATGAATGCTCGATATCGTTTAAAATATATAAAATTTGGCTTAACCTTTTAGGTGAAGAGGTGGGGGGGGGGGGGGGGGGGTAGTACTTGCATCATAGGTTACCCCCTTCAACTCCCTTATGGGGGTCTCAGCGCTATTGGCTTATTTTTAGGATAACCCTAAAAAGAGAATATTACAACTGATTAAGAGTGTGCAATCGCTTCACTAAAACCTATTTGATAATTTTAAATTGTATACAAATTATCATTTTTATTTGTATAATGATATTTAATCCTATAAAATAACTGTTACGAAAACGTGAATATATTTTTAAACATTCTCCCAAAAATAATATATTATGGTTTAATTTATAACTGAAATTTTTATGACATATAAAAATACATGAAACTGTCAAATATCAAGTAAAACTAAAAAAGGAATGAGGATTCCTTAAATCGTCATCCTTGCATCATTCATAGTATAAACAATCTTGATTTCTTAAAGTATGATTTTTTGGCACCTCTCCTCTACTATTTATAGGATATTGGCAGTTTTCAAATTGGCTTTACACTTTCTTAAAAATAAAGTTCTGGCTAAATTTAAATTCATTATTGAAAAAATTATTTATTCAGACTTGCTATTTTAATTAAATTATTGTTTATAATGAAAAATATTATTATTTTTTATTAGACTAAAATGATATTAACTAAAACTCGTAAATTTATTGCACTAATAGTAATGATTTCATTCAAACAATTAACAAAATATGTATAAAGAATATGCAATATAAGCACTAAATAAATTTTGTTAAACTTTTTTTTAGCGAAGATTTATTACAAGTTGATTCCACCTGAGAAACTCTCAAGATTATAATCACAGAAGCTACCAAGAATAATGTATTGTAAATTATAGAATAATACCGCATATTATATTTATTTTTAAAAAAAATAATTTCAAAGAAATAAATAAAAAATGTAATGTAATGTGTATATATTGAGATAATTATTTTTTGACCATTATAGCCTTTAACTATCGCATTTTAAAATAAAAATATTTTAATCGATTCGTTTGATTTCTCAGGATTTTATTTACAACTGTTGCAAGTATATAAAAACGCTTTTTATTTGTGTGAATTAGATCATAACTTTTAGATCATCGAAAACAATTAAAATCTTAGCGTATTTTAAATTTCGATCCCATATAATGCTCATTGAAAACCATGTTATAATCAGAAATGATCTTAGCTAATTTTAATTACATATTTTAAGAATCTGGGCTTTATCAAATAATGTAAAATAGTTTTATTAAAATTAATAACAAATTATTTGATTCCTGGTACACTTATGCAGGGTGCATACTAATGCTATATTTTTTTAAATATATCTAAATCTTAGGCATAGCTTTCTATTGCAAAATAGTTATAAGCCTACCTACCAGGTAGTTTTAAAATCTACAATAGGCAGCCTTGAAAGCTATGCTGAATGAAATTACGCGCATTCTAACTTAGTTAATCTTTTTCAATTCAATTATTCTTTGATCTTTAGAATAAAATAAATAAATCATAATTAAGATTATAGAAAGCTTACGCAAAAAAATATCATATTCTATAAGACCATCTAATTAAGTGAGATATAATAATCGATCTAAGATTCCAACTAAGGCAACTCATGCTAACCTCATATTGGGTTAGCTCAGACTTAAAATCATGGTTTAAAATTTAATTTAAGCATTATTCTCGATATACCATTGATTACCACATAGGATTTGAAAACCAAGTTTGATTATTTAGCCTAAATTCCTAATTAACTCATCAAAGGACTAATTTTAAAAAAAAATTAACATTGTCATTAGGTTTACCCTATTAAGAAAAAATATATGGTTAGATAAGTAAGAAGTATATTTTGGTTTGAACTTATAATTTGCTTATTAAATTTTTTATATACATTATTTTTTTAAATTTAATAACTTTGATAAGATAAATTGTATAATAAATACAATCGATAACCCCACTATATCAAAAGTGAAAATAAAGATTTTTTGTTTTTATGTGAGAGAATAATACCATAAGCCTATGCGTCGACGCAAGTTTTAAAGATCTAAACTGCCGCCGATGGCGCTGCTTTTTAGCCGCCGTCAACTTAGGCGGTGTAAATTGTCCCACCGACATAAATTTTTTTATAAATATGTATATTTCAAATTGATGAATTGATTTTTTAAAGAAAAGCTAAATTAAATTAAAAATAAAGTACTAAGGAATATCTATTTTTACATCTTTATAGAAAATAAAACAAATTAGAATTTAAAACTCAATAGTTATCATATATAAAGACTATTTTATTTAAATTTATCGGACATAAGGATATCTCCTTGAATTCAACGTCAACCCAGCGGTAGAAAAATCTCTTTCACTAGGTGTTGTAGTTGTCGGAACACATGGAATTTATTTTTTGACTAGCGTGGAAAAATTTGAATTCGATCCTCTTTTCTTCCTAAAAATTTAGAACATCCATAAATGGCATTCATGTTCTAAGTCACTTAAAGTGGAATCATAATTCGTGATTGTTTCCTCTTGGCTCTCAATCTCTATATTTACTAATCTAATATCAAGTTTAAAATACAAATTCGGACGATGTGCAATTTCGCTCGATTAGATATTTTGCCACAATTTTTAATTTTTGAAATCTTGAAGAGTAGCCAACACGCAGATAATTTTTGATTTAAATAAAAAGTAAATTAAATATTAAAATATTATTCCTTGCAGATCACAAACAGGAAATCGTAAAGCAATTTTTTAACACATTTTCTTTAAATGAAATAATCCAAGCGATCATTATCATTTACTATAAAATGTGTTTCTATTTCACTTCTGAAAAGTTGCTAAGTTCAATATTGGCCCTTTTTGTGAAGATCGAACTGTTTCTTTAAATTTGGAAAAAAAATTAATAGTTCCTCTACAAGATCCTATAAAAGTTAAATATGGGGGAAAATAACTTTATAAAATTTAGAACCAAGATTGAGACTTTGAACAAAAAAAAACAAGAATAATTTTGAAAAAATCTATCAAGAATCTAGAGCGTTATAAATTATAATATTATTAAATATCCCAAAAATTCTTGAAAAAAAATAAAATTAATGTATTTTAAAAATATTTAAGAAAAATTTTCTCAACTCAATCCATTTGTTTGATTTGAGATACAGGAATATAGCATTAATTAAGCGTATTTTTATTAATAGCGCCAGTTTGGGGTAAAAAAATTAACATGCGATTGTGGGAATTTTTATCGAACGCCTTTATAAATAATAGATGTGGAAAAAACAAATTCGATTATATCTGAAATATCGATCTCAAATTATTTAATATGAAAGAGATGTATTTTGGGCGCATAATTAATATAACCTTACTTTTCTTTTATTTTAACGAAATTAGCTTTTCGTAATATTGTGCTGCTACCGGTTCTCGATGGAACCCATAGGGATAAAAAAAAATTAGAAACCATAATTCCCACAATTAAATTTATAAATAAAGGACTGCTTGATGCCGACATATTTTTTAGGCAAATCACGTCAGAAAATTTGATAATATTGTATCTGCTAATATACGACAAAATAGGAATAAATTTCATGGGAAACAGGTCCAAGTCAAAAAAAATTTCAATATACTCGCATTTATACATTATGCAAACTCAATTTCATAAATTTCGATAATAAATTAAAAATAAATAAAGTTTTTTCACTAATATTTTAATACACTTAGGTTTAAGGTTGAAAAATAAAGATGGTATACTTTTATTTTCATATACTCAGAATTATTTGAAAAACCAAATATTTCAAATCAAAAATAACTATAGTGAAAGACATCAAAAGGATATCCGTTAAATTTCAGATATTTTTGGAGTTGCCATTATTTTGGGGGGAAAAAATTATAAATATCTGAAGTATAAGGTAGAGGCTTATGAAGATTTATGGAATCTATTAATATAAAGATAAGTAAAGATATATTTTCGGAGTATTTATTTCAAAATAGTTGTCCAATGTATTTAGAGAACCAACATAGGCGTCTGATCCTTACTATGACTTAGGTGATAAAGGTCTAAAGTTGTTATTGACTTTACTCGGATTGCGAGTAAATTTAAGCAGATATAAAATTATAGTTCCCTATATTCGGCTAAGGAGTATAAGTGTTGGAGCGATAATTAAGGTTATTATGTTAAAAATGTTTCATATTATTTCATTATTATTGATGAGAGCAGCGTCTACATGACAGGATTTTCATTGGATGCAAACCCTCTTTAAAAACCTATGCCTATCCCCCTTAAAATAATTAGCTACACCTTTTTAATTATAATGGTACTCCTTTCATAAATTTTAAAAAAAATAGCTTAAATTATTAATGCTCTACTAAACTATTTGTGAATGAAAATCGAATTATTTTTTAGAACATGAATTCAATTAGAAATCCCCTCATTTACAATTAATGAATTATTATGGTATATTATCTGGTATGAATATGAGTTTGCTGAGAATGTCCAATCCTTTTAAAATTTAAAAGGATAACCGAAAATTTTATTTGAAAAAAAATGTCTATGATTGTATATAATATAATGCTTAGCAATATCATTGTATTTATAGTAGGTCTATAATTAAAGTATTAATTTTTACAACAGTACATTTTGATTTCATCTAAATTTAATAGATAACCTTCCCTATTAATTTATCTTACCCCTAGCCTACCCACTTTAAGGCATACCCTTAACTTCCTCAAAATGAAAACAAGCTGTTCCTATTCCCCCACCCCATGCCCATGTAGACTCTGGATGAGAGTATTATTTTCTCAGAGTTGATCCTAGTCAAAGAAAAAATTTATCTTGGCCATAATAAAATTTCTTAAAGATAGATTAAAGTTTTGGTTGTTATCAATCAATATTTATGTTGATTTTATATATTTTTTTTAAAACAAGATCTAACGAAAATTAATTAACATTTGTTTAAATTGATAACAAATTCATACAAAATAAATTCTTTTATAAAATACATGGGTTTATTTATAGTTATATATAGGGAATTAATGATTTCAATTTTTAAGAATTAAATGCCAAAAATTATTTTAGATCCTAATGAATTAAGAAAGCAAAAGTCCAAGTTTATAATTAAGCACACTTCTTTGTAAATAAATTTATTTTAGGTAGCAACCGATAAATATTCATTATATTTCTGTTACCTTTATTTGTATAAATCACTTTAAAATTTAAAAATAAAATACTAACCATAATTTAAAAAAAGAAGGTTTTTTAAACATTTATTTCTTAATATAATTACATTATATCATTTAATAAAGCTATGATACTAATGTATTTAATATGATTTAAATCTAAGTTTTGTAAAAGTTAATTTAACCCGTTTTTGTTGGACTATTTTTTTCTCTCAATTTTTCCAGGTCATTAAATCAAATTTCCAGCTTTATTAACTTTTTGTTTCAATTGATGATGTGACTTAATTTGTTATTTTTTTATGTACCCCTACCTTTTCAGTGGCGTATCCAGGATATTCTTATAAGGAGGGGGGGGGGGGGGGGGATTTAATAATAATTATATTTCTATTTGTAACTATTATTTACTAATTCGTGCTTATGGATATTACAAGCCTATTTTTTATTATTTTAAGTTAGGTATATTTATTTAATAAAGTTTTTTTAAATGTAAAGTTGAAATAAAGTTTAATGTCATTTTTTTTATAAAATTTGCTTCCTCAGCTTAAATTCTCATACAATATAAGTAGAATATAATTTTTTTATTGAGAATATTAATAGTAGTGTGTATAAAATATTGACTAGAAAATAATTTTAAAAAAAATTTTTTTTATAACTTCTTATCAAATAGGGGAGACTGAGGTTAGTCGAACCAAATTTTACAAAATTGGCTATAGCTC